ACAAATCACTGACCAATTAAAAGCTGCTCATTAAATTACTTATACTAGTTATTTATGACTTCGAGTTCAAGGAAATTAAGTTGCACATCGTATTCTAAACTTGATTTTGTATTGTTTGTATAATATTACTGATATGAGAACTGAAGGCACTTTCGTTGTCTATTTTCTGCGCCATTTCAAAAACAAAAAAGTTCCCAAACTTTTGATCATTACTGTACATGGTTGTAAGATTGCGTGTTCCTGAATTACACCTTACCCAATTGTCCTGAATTGATTAAGAAGCATATTGATTTGAAGTCGCTTGTTGGCTGCCAGAACGGTGCCAGTAATCTGAAAGAGTTCATTCCTCGTTCCATCACCTACGAAATTCACGCACTCACCGGCTCAATGTCAAGCGTCGTTTCATCGTCATCATAAGATGGCTTGAATCGCGGAACAAACGACCGTACGATAGTGGAGGCTTGGTAGAAATGGGGTTTGGAAACGATCACCGGACCTGAGCGATATTAACTCCTTGAAGTCACTTTTTTCAATCTTTTGAAAGTAAACTTAACTCTAAACTCCTTATCAAAGAAGGTGCTCTGTTAGTCATAGAAATAAAAGAATGCGGCGCCATTCAGAGTAGCACTCACTTCCTTGACAGCCGCTGATATCAAGTAGACCCAGTTGGGAGACAAGTGGAGTTCACTGGCCGATCATAAGCTCCATACTTGCTGAGGGTGTTAGGGTTACAGAAACCACAATTGTCCGACACCGAATAGTCAAACTCCTTCTGATGGTAACAAGTATCGATATCCCGTAATTCCTTGCACTGTCACCTTCTTTTTCGTATTGAAGTGTCGCTGATCTGAACATAGAAGCTCCTTTATAACTGGTCCGGTCAAAGTGCATAAAAAATGTACGAACCTACATACATCAGAGATATAAATTGGCAATGGCTCGTCCTTCTTTATGAATGATTTGAAGATATCTCCGTCTGAATTTCAGCTGATAATTTCAGACGTATTGACTGCTCTTTGAGAAACTGATTCTGCTACGATCAATTAAAGGCGAATTTTACGATGAAATGTAACGCATTGAAAGGAAGGAAAGAATGATCACTGGTGCAGGAATGAAGAAAGGACCATGAGGAAACGGCCCAGAACCCGAGAAATGGGCCCTTTCCTGCCCGCTGATTTCCACATTGATGCGACCTCTTCCCTGCCCGCTGATTTCCACATTGATGCTATTTTCATCGGTGCTGCCCTTTTCAACGCTAAACTCTCTCCCTACTAAACGGCTAGAAACCTGCGGCGAGACGTTACCACCCAGTCGGGAGTCGTACTGCGCCGACAGCGCTGCTAAGAGGGCCATGTTAGATCGCAGGGGCATCCTTCACTGCGAATCGCGTGTCGGTTCACTCTCTGAGGAGATCCTCCGGTCTCCTTACCAGGAAGTTTCCCCTTCTTCGACCTCCGACCTTATCGTGGAATGCTCCTTTGTTGTGAGGAGAGAGCTCACACTATGAGCCAACGCGTTAAACCCTCGAAACGGGGGTGCGGTGGCTCGTACATAACCTTCTGCCGGGGGCGAGGTCACACTATTGTAGATGGATAGCAGCAAAGTTCCGTAAAGGAGAATGAGGTATCAGCTAATCGATAGTGTTTTGCCTGGAGGATCGACTGAATTTTCCTCGAACTTCTTCGAATTGAAAAAATTAGGATCTCTATGAATTTTTCGAAATATTTCTGCTTCGAGGGGATCAGATAGTGTAGAGATTAGATCATAACGCATAAAATCTTCTGGATAGATTCGTATCGGGGAAACTTTGGTACAGTCCCAGAGATTGAGATGATTGTGGTGGAATCTGAAGAGGGATATGGATGATTTGTGAGACCCTTTTTTGATCGTGTGGCCTAGCTTTGGTAGGGTTGCTCACAATAATGTTCAAAAAATGGATAAATATTTGTGAATTCCTGTAGAAGGACAAGGTAATAGGTAACTCACTGGCTTCCTTCGCAGCAATACAGGCCGTGGCCCCCCCATTGCATGATTTTGTGTTCTGCGCCAGGCCACCTTAGGTTTTTTCGTAAAATTATAGGTTAAAACAGCACAGGATATTTAATAAATAATAGTAGTACTAATAGTAATAATAGTAGACATACCATTGAGAAGGCAGCTTGTCTCCGTTGCTCGGAAGAGATTGATTCGCCAAACTTGTAAAAGAAATGGTGTATCCAGCTCGAGAGTAGTCAGTCTTCCCGGTTTGCACCGTATACAGCGTATCCGTTGTTCCATTAGCAGGCTGAAACACCAGCACAGGTATTCCTTGGCGTCGTGAGTGGGATTCCTCGCTCGCAAATTTTTTTCATATATTTCGCCAAACGGACGCGAACAGTTATGGTACGCCCAATCAAAATCGGAGCATTGTTATCAAGACGGTAACAGTCAGTATTACAACTCGGCTGTGATAAGTTCGCTGAGGTGGCGAAAGTACCAACACTTAAAATAGAGATCCTTACAGTTAGATTTTTAATTAGTCTTTGTCTAGACGACGTATTAGAGAAAAGTTCTTCCAAAAGATTTAATCTGGCCTTTCAACTGCGAAAGATTACCCACTGGTTATACATGCAGCAGAATCGGAGCCGATAGTAGAGTTCAATACATGAACCTGCTGCAGTAGAACAGTACTGTTGTAAGTGTATTAAAGTGAGAAATCACGGTAAAGTGTGTATGCAGCATGGAAGTACATGCACCAGTGTAAGCAGTAGCCGGGACCTAAGGAAGCGAGGTTTCTTCGCAGCCTGAGGTTAGCTAGTTGCAGTTTCAGTGTAGTGCATAAGACCGTCATTCAACGAACGAAAAGTGGGCACACCTCAAGTGAGCTGCCGAGTACGCGCCAGGTCACTGAATGTGTGTTAGCATGCTTCAAATGACGTTCATTTCACGGCGTGAGAATTCAAATTTGACAACTGTGTCGGTTCCATTCTTGCGTCCATATTTGACTCAAATGTAAAGTGGTTGTGGAATGTGTAAGTTCTGCATAGATTCGAGCCGAACCATACATTTCTGCCGTCATTGGTCGCGTGGTGGTCCCGCGCTGGGCCCGAATCATTTCTACAAGGCCTATTGTTTAATTGTACGTGAAAGGCAGCTTCTAAGGAGTCTTTGATGTTGACAACGCGAAAACTTCCTTTTGGTCTTGTAATGTGTTGGGTTGTCTCATAATTCTGTCGCAATTTCGACACTTTTGTTTATCCAAGTTTTATCTCTTCTAGGAAACAACTGATCAATGAATATAACCACCATCATGGTCACTGATATGCGTGCATTTGCTAGTGAGCGTTTGGAAGCTTCCAGCCCAGAATGAAGGAAGCTGGGGGTTGAAGAATTTGGAGAAGTCGTTTTTGGGGTGGTCGCAATCTTTAACTTTCTTCTCTGGCAGATGCTTATTCAGGGCGCAGGGGAGGCGATAGTCCGACAGAGCGATGCCAATGCTATATGGTGGATGAGGTATCGTGGCCCTGGCTATCTCCCTTGGAACGGTGTGAGTTGGCATTGCAATGTGAGGTCTGGCGTACATTCGGAGAAAGGAGAATCTGAGACGTTTCTGACGATTCCCTCGCAACCCCGAAGCCAGCCTAGAGGGCTATTCCGCGCTGACTTTAGCAATGCTTGTCTTCATACATTGAAGTGGTTCCCAAACCAGGCCACCTAGCGAATCCAACAAAACGAGAGCGATATTCTCAGAAAACGGAGTTCGGGCTTTGGTTGAGCTGGTGCTTCCTTGCTGCGAGGTAGCCAACAGACGTGCCATGGGATGTTGTCGCAGTGGACTCATGACTCATCTCCACTAGTGACCGACTAAGGAAGGTTCTGCTTTTGCCGTCCCAGAATGGATTTTTCCCAGATGGTCAGACGTGCTTCTCGCTCATGGTCGGCCGGACCATAAGGTTTTCATCAAGACTTTCATTCTGCAGCAGTCTTGCCATACTGATGGCGTGTGCTGGTGCATCGGCTGCGCTCAGGTCTGCTACAATACCCTGGTAGCAACGTGCGGAGGCACTCCCAATTTAGGGTGCAAGGGGCGCTCATCAAAAATGACCGCAGGCCCAGTATGAGGTTGAAGTTCATAGCTCGTTTCGTCTTTGCCGTTGCGATTGGACCACTAGCTCAGTACCCTATCAGTAGCAGAGACTGGTCAAACACAGCGCTGGTCTTCTCTGTTGTCCTCCTTGCTACAGAGTTCATTTGAGGATCGTAAAGCATAATCATTCATTATAGTCACTGACCTATTTTTATTCCTAGTTGATTAACCCATTACGGGCTCGCGTTTCCGAAACCATACTGTTAAAGCTCTTGAAGCGTACTTCAACATACTAACGTATTTCGCAATGAAACGGTCTTAGGCGGAAGAGATTTGAAACTGAATAGAAATGCGACAGTAATTATGAGACAACCCAATTAATAGGGTACCCGGTAGGAGGCCCATCGCGCGGCAATAAGGCACAGTCAATGGACGAGTCGCGGCACGCCATTTGCGATGGACGTATAAACATCAGTACATCACAGTTTAAATTTGACGCGAAATAACTAGCGCTGCACTCGTGCGCTGACTCTGCCTTTCCGCTTTGCGACGCCTCCTTTCGGGTACCCTAACTAATAACATACGGTTCGCAAAAAGCCACGGTGAATTTGTTCCATCGATTGAGTGCAATATTGGTTCCAAGCAGTTTGTTAGATATCTGGATGAGGCGGTTGGCGAACTTGGTGACTAGTGGGGAGACGTAACCCGAGAAAATGAGCTCATCGACAGTCTGAAATGGAAGTCGTGAAAATACAACAAGTATTAAATAAACTTCAGTCAGTGAGTGAAGCGCTCATAACTGTATTTTCACCCACGGCTATTGTTTTATTTTAGGAACCCTGATCATAGGCCCTGATCGCAATAAATTTTGGGTGATGGACAGACAAAGGTGGACGTTAGGGAGGATTGAGTTGTGTCAAGTACACGAGAGTAATGTTCTCGTGGAAGAACGAACGCCACCTGAAATGCCACCAAAAGCCTCTTCGCTTCTAGGCCTAGGCTTGGCAGGTGGAAGAGACGGTAAAACCGGCGTGCTTCCTGAGAGCACGTTTGCAGCGGCTATGAAAGCAATAACTGCATATCGATCTCCATTTAGCATAATAGGGATAGAGCGACAGCTTTTACCGAAATGTTTCCGAATACCCGTCTGTGGGATTGCGGCCGCATTTCTGCTGATCCACTCATACATTTCTTTAATGGCGTTTGATGCGATGTGTGTGGCCTATACAATGTTAACTTGCGGAGCCAGCCGATTATGTGTCAGCAAAGTTTTTTTATCCTCCCAGATGAGTCGTGCACCAATTAACCTACCCCGGAGCATGACAACAGTGATCAAATATAATAGAACAGTCTCGATAGTAACGATGATTCCGCCTGTTCCAAACTAAAAATCTTTTTTTTTTGACCTTCTTAGCCGCGTCCGCTAGCGTTTTTTTGTGTCTTCAAGGGAGAAGTTCTAAAACATTGAGCTGCCGGAGGGCCCTTTTTCTTAAGGCAAAGTTCGGGCTCAGACCCACCTAAGAAGCCCTTACCATGGCTAGAAGTGCTGGGTACGCAAGTGCAAAGGTAGCGCCACCTTTCTACATCGAAACGCGTCACTAGGACCCTAGGCGCCATGGACTTCTAACAGACTCCACCAAACTTAACATGGTCCGCCCACCGTTCGATATCTTGTCTGCGTCGCCACGTTGATCTGCTATGCTCTCTCTTCTCGGACTTCTCTACCACTCTCCGCGCTCACATTATCTCTCATCTCCCTGCCTGTCTTTTGAACTTCTCCACAGCATAGAGCAAAATGCTCGTATTTCCTGTGTATTTCAGGATTTTCTTTCCTTTTTTCTCCACTGGCGGTCCACCTCCCACCCCTACTTTCACATTTGAGTGGAATCACCCCATCAATTTAATCCTGATTCTTGCCTTTAAGGTAAACGGTTCAACATGCATCCACAATGGGAGCGGCTCCCTCTGTTCGAAGTGATGAATCAAGGGTCATTTTAGTTTGAGACATTTTGGACCAGAACTAGTCAGAATCAAGATACTCACAACGGTCACGAATGGCCTAGTCTTGAAAAGCTCCATAAAACTGCCAATTTCTCTTTCCAACATTTCGGCCAACATTGGGCACTTGTCCTTCAGAATTAACTGGCAAAAGCTCTTCAGATCATCGTTTCCAAGAATCTGCTCAACAAATGCGTCGATCTGTGCCATACCTATCTGAAAAGCCACACCTATCAAAAAACCGTCGAAGTTAATACAAAGCAAAATCAAGAGATGTTGGGCATTTCCAATAGCTACATAAAAGGGATCATAATGAAAAAAAAACCCACGAAGAAGCTTATATCGGGAACAGTTACGGTGTCCTTTTTTGGATCGCACGTTGGACAAGATTTGGATGGATTGAAGACATAGCGGGTCGCCCGGGCGAACTGCATTTGTTCGCCATCAGCAGTGAAGTTCAAATGCGTGTTCAGGAGTGTTTCACTAAAGATGAACTAGTCATGTGTTGGGTGAGAATAGGTACCGCCTAAGGGTAGAGCTTTGAGTGAAGCTGTTGTGAACTAAGGAATCCACTTCAGTACTCACTCGTAGGCGTATGGTCCTTTTTCGTCCATGTCTGGGTAGAGAGCTCGATTTAATATACCTATCGTGTTTTTGTAGTACTGCATTCATTTGCTGCATACTATCTAACGAACAATCGTGCATTTGTTGCTTAAAGACTTATTGAGAGAGCCTGACGTCTCAGCGCTCAAATTCATCAGACGCCGCGAGAACGTTACCTTCCTTCTGATATTCTGCCTGTTCTCCCCTCTTCACGAATGCGTAATTAATGCATCCTTGAATATCCTAAGGCGAGTCTAACACTAATAAAATTGTCGGGAGTTGTATTTTTGCCTGCTTCTGGACGGTTCTTGCACGCTTGTTGAATGAACCAAGGGGCATACAAACCAGAATGTCGAGGAATCGCCCCTTTTGCTTTCTTGCTGCTGCCGTATGCTGAATGTTAAGGATGAGTTGGGTGCTGAGGTCTGTGCCTCTTGCCCCATTCAGTCGGTAAGGGACGGAAGTGACTGACGAAGTGCTGCAGCTAGTCCAGCGCTCCTGCCAAAGAGGCTGGTTGCTTAACTCTTGGAGAGAGAACGGATCCTGCCCTCTCGCGCAGGTCCGTCCTCTCTTTGTGGGTTAGCCCTGAGGTAAGCACCAAATTGTGGCGGCTCCAAGGACCGAGTTGAGGAAGTTCGTTGATTCGTCTCTAGAGGCGAACCGCTATCTCCTTCGCCAGCATCTACCGGTATAGCGGCGTCAGTAAGTTTCGCCAAAGAGGGCTGCTTGACTCCCTTCACAGCACGAAGTCCTCCAAAGATGAATACTGGCAACAACCATGTAACTTTGTATTGGTTAGCTTGCGCACGGGGATACGAGCTAGGCAGCACTCAATATTAGAGTCCTTCTAGTGTTGACCAACAAATTAGATATTCCCTGCCCATCACTAAGTCCACTCCGGTATTGTGCTTTGCGAAGAGACAGCTGTGTCTCGACCACTTCACTTACAAATTCTATTACCTAATCAATTACACCAATAAACACCACAATGCAAATGGAGCTCGCCACAATATTCTCTGTTCCCTCCCACACTTGATCTCTGGTTGTTCTCGAAGTCTCTAACATCTAATGCCTTGTTGTAGAAATTTTTGGACAATGCTATCCACTTCCGCCTACCCGCGTGCCCACAGCTACTGCTTTCTAGAACGCCCCCTTCCCCTCTACACACAGCGATAATATGCTATCTTTAAAAAGCCAGCATGACTAAGTGACTACGGTGCTAAAGTACCCCCTCAGAGTAACTTCCTTTGCTCGAGGCTTTCACTAAGGTGCTATCGATTATTTAGCAGTTTTGTATGTCATCTCACACTTTAACTGACATTTGATTCATATATGTTCATCAACAGACTGCTTGTTCTGCCCCAGCCTAAACACATCAGTGCGTGCAAAGTCGAATCACATTGCACACAATTTTTATTTGCTGAACATAGTGACTCCGAAGTTCAAGAAAAGGAATGGCCATGTCCTTCTCTCTGTGTATGTCCTAGTTGTCTGCTTTAATTTACCGGCATTACCCGCTTCGCTGCGTTGACATCGTATTGAAAAACAGGCTAAGCATGAACACTGTGAAGTTTTTCAACTCACCTCCTTCCAAAACACCTTCTCGAAACCGTAAAGCTTCAACAAAGGTAAAGTTTCTAGCGCGGAAAGAAGGTAAATACGCGTCCAGCCGGATTTGCAATCAGATAATAACTTGGTATCCTGACATCTCAATCAGCCCTTTTCCTTACCTCTCACAGACCCCATATTCATACTCAAAACATAGAAGCTCGAATAACATGCACGGAGAACTTGGAAGAGAAAGGCGCCAGCGTTCGGGCCAGCGAATCCGATTCGGTTTATCTTAATGCTCTTATCCAAGAGATTGTGATATCAACGTGGCCTTTGACTGCTTGTCTGAACTTAAATCGGACTGTGTTAGTTTTGCAATATGTCCCAGTCATTGTCGAGAGTTTATTCAGTGCAACCGCGTAGGGAAATTCAAACACGCATTGATAGGACAGGACTTTCTCCCGGTCACTGTGAAGTTTAAAGAGATTTTAGCGATTAGGAATGGAGGTCGAGGAAGAAGTAATTCACCTAGTTGAGTAACCCACGGACCTCCTGAGGGTGCGAACTGATGCGCAATTCGCATCGAAAAATTTGACCTCGGCGACCTATTATGCCTCAAAGTTGGCGGGTCTGGCGATCTCCGCCCACCGACCAGCTGATCACTCGCCGCAGATCTATACGTGGGATTGATTAGATAGCAGAGAGAGCGTGATGTTGAGGAGGGCACAGCGATAAGAGTCGCATCAATGCGCAAATCAGCGGGGAAGGAAGGGGTCCCATTTCTCATGGTTCTTCCTTCTTTCGTGTACCAATCCATCCCTAGGTTAATTGAACCTGCAGTTACTTTTCATTGTGAATTCGTCCTATAAGGGTAAGGCAAAACGAAGCCGACTTGTTTGCACTATAGATCCCGATGCAGTAGAGACTCTTCTCCGCCATCAGCAAAGCGTCCAGGAAACAGTATTGCAACGCATTATTGACATCATCCAGGAAATTCCCCTTGAAGAACGTGGAACGGTCTGTGTGGATCAACAGAGGACATGGCAAGCTTCCCTGATAATACCCCGAAGAGTCCTTGAGCCATAACATACGCCTCAACACAATTTTTTGTGAAATACAGTTGGCCCACAACCGTACCACACCCTAACCCTAGAAAAGTCTTTCTTCAGGTGAATCGGAGCTGCTTTTTTCAAAACGTCTTGAGCTTACATGTTATGGCGGCACGTGCGTCGTAAGATACGACTGAGAACATTTCCCCGGAGCGGTCTTCCTCGATTTGCCAAGAAGAGCGGAAAACATCTCATAGGAAAGTTGGAAACTCCTTTTCGTATTCAATAGATACCACCGCATTTTGTAGCAGCCGAATCGTTGCATGTGTCAGGCATTTGTTAAGTGACTAAGCTCAAATATATAAGAGAGCAAGGAAGTGGAAAACAGAGAATGCGAAAACATGTCTTCAATGGGGATCGAACTAGAAGCCATTGCCTCTACATCTGGCATTCCTAGAACAACTCGGATGAGAATTATTTTCCCATTCATACCCCTGCTGCGTGTCTCATGTGTACACAAGAACCCTTCTTCCACAAAAGCCCTTTCTGCCCTGAAAAAAGTTCGCGCTGGTAAGATCCATTTCTTTTTCTCGTCTCGCGCGATTCTTTCCCAAACTGTTTGCAAATTCATGCCATGATCATAACCGATACATCATAACGGGCATGCAATCGTCAGATATTGCTTCTATTCAAGTGCAGAGGTATTTTTTGAATGCATGACATGGACAGCTCCGTTCGTTCCTTGTTTCCCTCGTGTTTCTCGTCACCCATTCTTAAATATAATTACCTGCGTAACTAGTCTTTGTTCAATCGACGATTGCGAACAACATCTAGTCCCTCGCAAGCGTCGCCTCACAATAACGTGAGAAATGAGCTCCATATAGGAAGTGAGTCATAAAAAAAAATAAAGAAAAAACAAAACACTCACTGTATAGCACTCTGCTCACGAGAACCAACGCTTTAGAGAAGCTGCTCCTTATTCCCTGAATATTATTCTTATATCATGGTCTATGAAATCCAACCCATTTTCCCTGAGGCGCACCTTGAACTCAGCGATGGGTGCGGAACGGAAGTGACAGCGGTCGCATATCGTCTGAGTTGTACCACGAAATTCAGCAGCAACTGTAGGGAAAGCGAGTTATAGAGAGTAGAGTACGAGAACCCAACACGATAGCAAAATATGTGTTTCTTGGCAACCAAGTCAAAAATAGCATTTGGATGTCCCACTACAGTCCAAACGATGTGAAATTTGCTTTGTCGTGAGAGAGCGTTTACCGAGTTCGTTTGTGGTGCAAAATTTACCACCGCATATCCCACAAGTCAATTGGTCCAACTATTGAATGCTGGCGGCGGACAGATTGATATACTGTTCTTGTTTTCTATACATTATACCGAGAAATTCCTACCGGCAATTGCGATGTGAGGTGCCGGCGCTCACTGCAATTATTGCTCTGTCCCCAGCGTAGCGCAAATGCGGAACCGCGTAGGAAGCGACTCCACCACGACATCATCCCCTGCTGATTACGGAGAGTTAACGAGCAAGCTGTGACTATCGCAACAGTTATCTGAGAGGCCTAATAAAAGACGCCTTAACTTGCGCAATAACATGCATTATAAGCCTAGACATCGCTTTTCACGCTGTTCCTATTAACAGCGATTACGGTTTTTTCAAAGTCGCGCCTGTTTCTCCAAACTGTTTGCATTATGTTCGTAGGTATGCTTGCATGGAACGTGAAACTACACACCTCTTCTTAAGTGACCCTCTGAAGGCTAAAAAAAGGATCAAGGCCTGGTCATGGTTCCGAAATGCTCTCTGGAGTGCTGATAATCTTATGTTCATCGTTAAGATTTTCAAGAAAAGGTGCACTTGCGCCCAACCGCTCCTGTTGAGGCCTCCGTAGTCGGATATTTCAGGGCTGGGTGCTTAGCCAGACGCAAATATCCGGTCGAGGAAATCCTCGACAGGGGGGTCGTACCTGTCGGGCTGGTCCATGGGGGTCGTACTCTTGAGGGTCAGTAACAGCAGTGGTATCGTAGGTGCAGATAGGTAAGAGGGTATAGCGCAGCAGAAAATGAAAATATCTGAAAAAAAATGATATTAATGATATTAATTTTCTTTGCAGGTTCAGTCGCTCCATTCCTCCACCTTCATGAGAAGGGCGTATTTGAAGGCAGTACAAAGAATGAAAGTGCATCCCCGCAAAGAAGACTGCCACATGTGCGCACGCGCTGCAAAGGCACCTCCTGCCTATCGCTCGCTCCTTCTCCCTTAATACCTCGCTGAGAATGACACTGTTGTTAGGGACCCTGTCGCAAAAACGACAACCGTGAAGGAAAAGCCCTGGGCAAATGAAGTTGTTCTTTAGGTTGTAGGAGTTACGAAATGCGTTTACTACAATGCAGCTTCTGTCAACTGGTCATGATCATATGACACCTTCGAATCGATTCTGCAACTTCGAGTGAGG